CACAGTGCATCAGTACATGCCTACCCATCCACCCACGCATTTATATATTTTTGGTTTGAGATCTCTGTCCTGTCTCCTTATATATATAACAAAGGCTTGACTGATCATAAATCGACTGATTTTTCTTCACTCTACAGAGAGTCAGTCGCACTGCCTTGAGCTGCTGGCCACTATACTGTCATTCTTCAACACATATCTTTGTATCTATCTCTATAAGGAACAGAACTGGGACAGAGCGAAAGTCTCGTTACCCCAGTACAGTAGAGCAGCTTGGATTTTATCATCTCTCTCCCTCTCTTCCGCTGGGGTTTAATTAGACATCATTTGCATTAAGAATATCTCCACAGCTAGAAAGAGTTTCATGACTGGAAAATGTTAAAGTGGTCCATCTTTTTCTGCAATTATCCATGTCCAAAGAATATTAGCATTTACTGAATGTGAATGTCACGGTTATGTGGTCAGAGCACTGAATCATTCAATCGATAGAAATGATGCGTTACCACATGCTAACTGTCCAGCTTCTGCAGCAACTTGGCCAAATTGACAGTGAATTAAAATGGTCACAATATTAGTTACTTGTTTGGTTAATTTTGAAAATGTATTTCAACTTAATCTCTAGACTCAAAGAATCTAGTTTAAGCTAGATTTCTGCATGGTGATTACATTGAAATTTGAAACCTGTCCAGACATGCAAAATCTGATTATTTTGTGCATACAACTCAAATCCATTTAGTTTTTTCTAAAAAAAAAAGACTGATAATGGAAATCTGATCTCTACAAATCCATATAAATCCATATATAATCCATAAAACACAGATCTTATGCAGATCTGTGTCCAAATACCCTCATTTTTTGCTCACTTATTGTAAAAATGGTATCCTAAAAATGAACTGGTAAAATCTAAATGAACTGGTTTTATTCAAATAAAAAAAGATATTTAGGCATAACTGACTGAACTTAAATACATTAATTTAAAGAAACAACATTTTTCATGGGTTAAATTAGGTTAAAAAAAAAATTGCTCTTTGTATAGCTCTAATATATGTGACCCTGCCTGTGAAAACCCAGCTAAAGTCATTTTTTGTGATTTTAGGCCTACTGTTTTCTACATAAAATCATCCTTTATATCTTTAATATTGACTGAGTAAGGCCATGTCAAAGATTGATATCATAGTGAAATTTAATGGTTGAAATCAAACTTTGATGCTTGTTATCTCATAATTAGATTTTGAGACTTTAGCCTGGATTTCACAGACAGGGTCACATATACAGTATAAACTACAGAGAGTCTGTTCTAAAGATTGGTTTTGAAAACCAAATCACATCTGTCAGAAATCTAAACCAAATATGAATCCCTTTTTATTTCATCTCTGAGCACGTAAACTCTTATGCTCCCATTTTCATAGACTCTGACTCAAAGATATAACAAGTTAAGTGAACACATCAAATATTTATAATAAAACTGTATTTTTTATTCATCACAAACCTGAACCCATTGCAAACCTGAAGTTATGTATAAAAAACTGACTTGAACCCACCCAAAATGGTTTGTCCTTTAGCAGACCTCTATCGTGAGCCTCTTTGATTGCTATAAGCAAAAACCTGTTTGCAAGAGTATGTACGTCACAGCGCTTCGCTCTGGCAGTAATAACATCATCTATGAGCTAATGTGCGCATGTGCGTGAGTTTGCTTGGCAGTGACACGTTTTAATCTGTTTGTTTCCCAGCCGCACACAGCAGCCCAGAGGCATTTGCCCTCATCCTCTACAGCTCCTCCAGATTAACACTGACCTCCTTTAATAAGCCTTGGCATCTTTCTCATCCTGGCATCTACTTTCTTTCTTTCTTGATTTTTCCACCTCTTCTTCAATTATGCCTTTTGTTTGGCATTTGCTTTTAGGGCGCTTTCACGCTAAAGCTTTTGGCATGAAACCGAATCCATTTGTTGTCCAGGGTTGTGTAGAATTTAATCACCTCACTGTCGGTTCATAAGTTGGAATTGAACTGGCTAGGACCCGACAAGAAGATGAATTGGAGTATGAATCTGAATGGATAGAATGTAGAATTTACTAATTGCAATTCAAAGAATTGAATGACAAGCTTTCCTTTTCCTTGTGGACAATTACCTTTATTGGGGTAAATTTCTTCCTTCAATTGATTTTAACTCTTTCCCCACCAGCGTTTTTGAAAAAAGTTGCCAGCCACTGCCAGCATTTTTTATCATTTTTGCTAAAATTTCATGGCCCCCAGAATATTTTGTTGTATGAATATCTAAACATGCAATACACCAAAATAAAGAACAAAGCCTGTTCTTATTCTTATTCTGTTTTATTCTAGCTTCAAAGATTTTTTTTTTTAACACTTCAGTGTAGGTAAGTTTCATAAAAAAAGCAACATTTTGAGCAAAAAATTTTTTTTTTAGCATTTTTTATCAAATACTACATCTGGATCATATTCAGTATGATGATCAAAGCAAAGATAAGAGCGTATAATATTATATAAATTCAAATTTTAATACAATTCTATTTCCTGCTACCTCAATTCAAATTCAGATTTAATTGTAATTTAAAAAGCATTCTGATGCAATTCTGAATGGCACACAACCCTTATGTCTGCTTGAAAAGGTGAATTCGGGTACATCCGCAAATCATATGTACGTGATTTGTCCTAAATCATGAAAATGAAAACCAAATAATTTGCATTTTTGTAAATATTGACCGGTTATTCATATGACAGTGTGTGGTTGAAGATACGAATTATGTATTTTGTCAGTAGTACTTTATAAAAATTATTAAAATACACTACCGTTCAAAGTTTTGGGATCAGGAAGTTGTTGTTGTTGTTTTTTCTTTATTCAGTAAGGATGCATTAAATTGATCAAGTGACAGTAAAGACTTTTACATTGTTACAAAAATATTCTATTTCAAATAAATGCTGTTCTTCTTAACTTTCTGCGAATACATCAAAGTTTCCAAAAATTAAATAAATTCAGTTTTGCCATCAAAGGAATAAATTACAATTTTAAAATATATTAAAATAGAAAATTGATATTTTAAATTTTAATAATATTTCACAATATTAGTACTTTATAAAAATTATTAAAATACACTACCGTTCAAAGTTTTGGGATCAGGAAGTTGTTGTTGTTGTTTTTTCTTTATTCAGTAAGGATGCATTAAATTGATCAAGTGACAGTAAAGACTTTTACATTGTTACAAAAATATTCTATTTCAAATAAATGCTGTTCTTCTTAACTTTCTGCGAATACAAAAAGTTTCCAAAAATTAAATAAATTCAGTTTTGCCATCAAAGGAATAAATTACAATTTTAAAATACATTAAAATAGAAAATTGATATTTTACATTTTAATAATATTTCACAATATTACTGTTTTACAGTAATTTTTTTATAAATACATATACAGCTTGTATAACAGTGTAAATTTGCTGTCCCCTCAAAATAACTCAACACACAGCCATTAATGAGGTTGGGGAAAACAATCCTGGGTTCAAAGCAAGCAGTCGAATCATGTGTGACAACAGAGCAAAGTTCCTTGATTATTACGCCGGAATGAGAGTATAGTTCCTAGCCATATCAGCCTAGAAAATCGCATTGCTTTTCATTTTCCGTCAGTCTTAGTACACAATGTAACCAGGGGTGTGAAGTAACGAATTACAAATACTCACGTTACAGTAATTAAGTAGTTTTTATCAGTAATTGTACTTTTTTGAGTAGTTAAAAAATTGTGTACTTTTACTTTTGCTTGAGTACATTTTAAGTGATGTATTGGTACTTTGACTCCGCTATTTTTCTCCGTTTGTGGTCGTTACATGCTTATTTTAATTTTATTCAAGTTTTAAATAGGAAAAATATCAATTTTTAATATCAAACATTTTTGAGCGAGATGCTAACTGTCTAATCAGATTCAATGATCTATGCTAAGCTGCAGCTAAAAGTGCTATCACCAGACCTGGAGATCGGCTGAATGGATTCGAAAACGGTAAAACTCAACTGTTTAACTCTAGGGGAGTTGGAAAATAAGCCTATTTTCAAAAATAGTGGTGTGTTCCTTTAATATTAGAAACAGTGGACTATGCCTGCTTGCTGTTCTTTGCTCATTCTATTTGCATAACCTAATTTGGGTGTCGTGCAAGAGCCCGGTGTAGTGAAGTGGTTTGGGAACATTTTGCCCACAGCTGCATTAGCTTGAGAAAACACAAAGATTACATTCAGTATCGTCAGCAATAGAGAAACGCATCAAGCGTCCTTGATGAGCCCTTGATGTGGCCTTATTTTGCTGAGCTAGAACTAACTTGTCATGTATTGTGTGTGTACGCTTCATTTAAAAACTAATTACCGCAAAAGTGAGTTCATTGTTAAACACCTTCCTAATCCACGGCCAGCGAAATTCCAAGGCAGAAGTTGGCTGGAAGAGCGCAGTTTGCGTACTCAGTTCAGCATATTAATAAACGCAGGGCTGGCCGATGATTGGGCGCTTTACTGAATGCCGGTGTATTTGCAGGTCTTGGAACATTGGGATCCTCACAGCAGTCCCACAGCCAGTCTATCTATCCATGCTCTCCCTCACAGCGCTCCATATCTGCACTGGCCTTCAGGTCCAGAGTTTGACCTGACCAAACCTGACCCCTATGACCTCTATGAGAAGTCCAGGGCTATCTATGAGAATAGGCGTAAGTAACTTCTTGCTAGCACCTAAAGCTAGCATTAATGCCTACTGCTAATCTGTGCTGTTTACCTACTGTATTTTTCCACTCCAAAAATGTGCACATACACACCAAACAACAAACGAATGTACATGGCAAAAGATATGTAGCAGTGTGTCCTAATGAGGCACAATGTGCTAAAACAGCTAACAATAAAAGCTATATTTTCTGTGGTGAGTGTTTGTGAGATTTAAATGAGTGACACGAAATTTTGGCAACTACATGATTTGTAATTCTGTAGCATTATGTTGAGTTGCCCCGCCCACAGTGAAATTTAATTGGTCGAATTTTCCACTCCACATTGTTGTAAAAAATGTAATGGAAAAATCATAGCGTCAAATATCTGCTTTAGAAATGGAAGTTAAATTTAATTGTTTTCAAATAAAGTGTGCCAAATTTATGTTACAAATGTTGTTAGATTTTATTGCTGATATTAATCCTGTCAGAGCTGTAGTTGAATGTCTGTTACCAAAATTAAATAGAGTTCAATATGGCCACTGAGTAAACTGAAATTAAACATCAGATATGTTCATCTACATCTTTCCGTTTGGACCAAAAATGACTTTTACTGGTGTGTTATTGACTTGAGCCTGGTTAGAGCATGGTATCGACTCTCGAGTGACCATGTCAGCTCTCAGACTCAAAAAAATACTGTTTTGTTGTTGTCTCGTACAATGTTATCCTCCATGCTAAGTGTTCTGAGGTTGTTGTGTGTTGTCAATTTTGAATTTTTCCACAATGAGATCTGTGGAGCTGCTCTGGGGTCCGGGAGAACTTTAGTGGTCTTAGTGACTTTGACGTTATATAACACTTTGCATTATTAATGCAGGTACTTTCTTAACCAGATTTAGAGACTTTACTACACATACAGGCTTTCTGAACTTTTTCAAGGTCCCTGTGAACCATATTCACTGCATTTTAAGTAGAAGCATATGTTTAATTCAGCAAATAGTTTGAAATCCATTAATTCATACAAATGTGAATATACTTATTACTGTACCTAAAATCTACTGCATATCGAACAAAAAAGTCTGAAATGTCAATAGAGTTAATGTTGCATTTCTAAAGGTGCTTTAAACTGATTGACAGCGATTAAACCGATAGATGTCGTTCTGCTGCTAGCAGCCGTTTCTATTCATCTTCTGTCTGCACACCCATAATTGCTTCACTGTGCATTTGCATAAACTTTTTTCTACTGACCTTTTTCTACTGTTTTAAATCAGCAAGTGTGCTCTTCCTCATTAATGCTTCCTAGTCTATACCTCCTCTTTAATTTTGTATATAGTTTCTCTTTAGTATTCACAGCTGGCAATGACAGGTTGGCAATGGAGATGTTGGTTAGTGTTGATGTTGTTTGATGATTATCTTATCTTATGTGCAATGATCCTCCATAGAATTATAAGAGGTTTTTGCTTTTTTATTATTAGTAGTAGTAGTAGTATTATTATATTGCACAGACACTCTATTGTAGATACCCTGGTGTTGTCCAAACAGTTTAGTTTCTCTTTAAGGCAAGTATGCTCGATGGTTGATTACATTTTGTATATTTTTCTGTGAGCCGCATCTTATTGTTTGAGTAAGATGTTTTAAACAGCCTCATTTTGTGAAATTGCACCGCCTTCTAATCTGAAAGTGTCAGGAATGTTTGAGAATGTTCAGTCGCAACACTGTTAATGTTTTATAGCTGTTTGAATATGCACTTGATGTTGCAAAGATGCTGTAAAAATTTGGCATTCTGTCAAGTTGGAGAATAGAAGCTTTTAAAATCTCATTAATACTTATATTCAAGTATTTCAGGAGCTTAGGTTTTAGCAACAAGGACACATTCTGTTTATGTTAATACATATTTTATGTGATCTTTTATATGTGTTTGAATTAATCTTCTGCAAATATTTGGTCACCTGCAATTTAAGACTATTTTTCATTTAGTATCATCATGTAAATGTGTTATTTGTCTAAAATCATTGCTAATTATGAAAATATATGACATGATAAACTTTTATCAGCACATTTCATCACTGCAACAAAGAAAATCAACACTTCTTTGAACAATATTTGATATTGTAAAAAGGCTAAAAAATAATCTATCAATATTTATGTATTTGCTCTTAAATGGTTTTATATGCTACATTTTCAGTCATAGGAACTATCAGTCATTAAGAGTTAATCTATTTAAAGTGTGTTTTCCATGCTGTTCTTATTGAACGCAAAGAAAATTATTTAATCATTTTATATACAGTCGTTTAACAAACATCAACATTGAACTACATATGTTGTATTGAAACATTTCAAACCATGCAAAATGTCTCCCAGAGACTTCCGTGAACACAAATAATTTAATTCTGAACTGATTCATTTCAAAAGAGCTCATTTGAATCAAATGAATCAAACTCTAATGCAATTGAGGTTTAAATTAGAGAGCTTAACATCTTAAAGCTGTCGTGTCATTCCACAAGCAGAGGGCACAAAACCAGCCTACTGCTGCAGCTGAATGAAAAGCATGTAAATCATCACAATATACACAATCCTGTATACAATATGTTGGTTAAATATCACGAGCGTAGTGGTTGCAAATATCACCCAGCTCTAGCAGAGATGCAGATGAGGTTGCAAGAATGATGCAGTTGAAGATCAGACTCCCTTTCTGAATCAGAATCAGGCTCAAGCTTGCACCTAGTTTAAATGCAATATACGTACGGCATAATACATGGCCGTGTGTAGGTTTTCAGGCAGAAATGCGCAGCTCATGCTGATCTCAGTGCTTGTCTGTTCTGAGCCAGGAGATGAACTTGAGTTCTAAGATATTGTATAATTAAAAGCCCAAAATCAAGAACTGACTTCATGCATCCACTGAAAAAACAGCAGTTGATTAAAAGTCAAATCAGAATTGTGAAAGTATAGTTCACATCATTTTGTTATCAAATGACGAAGTGTCATGATGAAGTGTGCTTTTGGTGCATTTTTGTGGGCACTGTATATTCACATATATCTTCATTGCTTTGTAGCTGTTGGGCATTATATTAGTGAGACAGGTGATGTATATATTGTAGTATATTTCCAGGTGTGTGTGTTTATATAAGCAGTGATTTATGGGCTGTCCTTGTATACCAACAATAGCTGTTTCCATCCACCTATTTGTATGCGCATTTTGGAATATCGCATAAAAAAACACTGGATGGAAATGCCAAGATGCGCATAAATTCTAAAAATGCACATAAAAATCTTATGCGCACTATTGAGTAGGATAAACTTTTTGTCCAATAAGAAAAAATGCACACTAAACTACGATGGAGACACTTTTACCGAATAAATTCAACCACGTGCATCAAAAAAGTCCCAGTGTGACCAATCTCATTGCACAGCATCTGAAATGTTGTTATGGTCGTTCTGAAAAGTATTTCTGTATAATTGTATAATTCCCAAACAGCAGCGTCCACCTCCGAAAGATGACAGCATTTATTGTGTTTCGTCTGCTCGCTCTGAGGCAAAACTAATTTATTATATATGACAATTATTATATTAAGTGGCTTCTCCTACTTTTCTTGGTGATACTTAATGCCAGTTTATCAGGAAGTGATGATTTTGTTCTTTTTGACTCGTTGGATGGAACAGTACTTTATTCACAAATGTTTTATGCGATATTCCAGTTTTGCGCATAAGTTAAATCTGAATCTTTGGATGGAAACATAGCTATTGTCCAACAGTGAACGTACATTTTTTAATATATTGTGTTTAATAGCAATTTGTGGTGGAAATTATATTTTTAACATTTTGGGTTGAAAGTGGCCACCTTCTTTGTCTTGTTAAGGCTAATTTTATTGCTACATTATATGTATCCTAAAAACACACGGTTAAACAAATACTTGAATATAAACAAGTTTCTGCATAATATTACAAATATTACAGCTTGACTGGAAATGACACGCAATCATAATATTAAAAGTCGGGGGAAAAAAGCTTTTACACCACGCAAGCAAGATAGCAAAACACATTTGACTATTTATTTGTTAAATCTGAACAAATATGTGATATTTGATAACTTTATTAGGGTCACAGTTGTTTGTTGTGGTTTAAATGACACCGACTGAAGAACATGAAGCAGAAGTAATAAAGGTTCTACTGTACCTCTGCTGCTTATCATGTGTCCTCTCTCTCTCGTCCACTCTGTCTAATAATTCTTGGTGTAGCTGAGGCTCAGATTTTGTGCCCTCTCAAGCTCTACCTCCCTCATCCTTCCCGCTGTCTGACTCATCCTCTCAGTCTTATCTTCCCTGGACAATCGTTTCTCCCCCTTTGCATCTCAGTGGAGCGGTTGAGGAAATGTCTGGCTGCTGGCTTTTTTGGCTTACTGTTTGATCACAGAAGGACTTCAGATCAGCTTTAGCCAAACCGTATACTATAGACTCTTCCTTTCTTTCTTACTCAAACACACTTGTATTATTCGTAGTTGATACCTGAAAAGATGATAGAATTGTGAATGGTTATATACTATGTAAAAGTATTGTAACATTCAAAACCTCTTTTCCAATCCAAAAATATGTTTTAATGATCTTGTTTTGACTGGAGACACATGAACTCCTGAAATATACAGTTTAGTGGTCATAATACAGAAATATTTGACTGTGCAATGAATGCAATGATTAACCAATTAGAATCAAGTATATATAACCATGTTCCTTTTATTTCAGAGTCATTTTCTTTCTCGCCCTGTTATCTTCAGGTGAACCCTGTCCAGAGAACGGCCGCAGCCCTGGATCGACCCAGCACAGTTCCCCCAGGAGTGACTTCAACTCTAGAATGTTCTGTAACAACTCCGCCCCCTCTCAAAACTCCGCCCCATCTACCACAGGCTCCTCCCCACCAGACACTGTAGCCAATCAGAATCTGCAGCCTAGTGATGTCACCATCCAGCGCAAGGAGAGCGAAGGGTTCGGATTCGTTATTATCAGTTCTCTGAACAGGCCTGAAACCGCGGCTGCTGCTGGTAAGGAATAATTATTTTTGTACACTTCACATGCTTCAACTTATTTTCAATCTGGGACGTTCCTTTACTGTAATAGCTCACTCAGGTTGGCTGCTCAAAAGGGTCATAGTGACTTGTGCAGCATGTCCTCATAAACTGGTGTATTAATAATGGATGCACTTCTATTTGAGGGCTGAAGAGGCTAGTTACAATGTTCTAATGCAGCGCCCACACTCGTATATAAAAACAGATCCACTAACCGGAAAGGACAGAGTGCAAATAGAGAGCTTTCTCGGTGTATTACGTAAAAACTATTTGTGTGTGTGTGTTGTCAGCCGTGCCTCATAAGATCGGCCGGATCATTGAGGGAAGTCCAGCAGACCACTGTGGGAAGCTCAAGGTTGGAGATCGCATATTGGCCGTCAACAATCAGTCTATCGTCAACATGCCGCATGCAGACATCGTCAAACTGATCAAGGACGCGGGACTCAGCGTCACACTCAGGATCATCCCTCAGGAGGGTGAGTTGATGCCTGTGGAACTGTTTGAAAGGGATTCTTACGCAAAAATTGATTCTACACTAATTCTGCTACTGAAGAGGCTATGTGTAATTGCACATTAAACTGAGATAAAAGAAAGTATTTTAACATCAAAATGGTTGAGACAACTATAAGTAAGCCATTTATTGGTTGACTTCCTGAACATTGCTCTGACATGTCAAATGGCTCAACAAATAGTGTGAGTTTGGGCGGGACTACCTGTTTTTCTGGGCAATGGAAGAGGTTGGGGCAGTGTCCTTTAAGGAGCACTGTAGCTTTAAGGAGCCCCTGACTTTTTTTCTAAAAATTCTCAGTTATTTCAAACAAGCTATCCTTGTACAGTTGCTTTCGAACATAATTTAAGTATTTTTAGAATTTGAAATGCTATAACTGGTTTTTCTGAATGGTAGTTTGTGATAAAACTAGAGATTGTGCCTGAAATGTCAGTGCTAAAATAATTAAATACAAATGTTTAAAAAAATACAATTTAAAATCACAAGAAAGTCATACAGGTTTGTAATGAAATGAAGGTGAATAAATGATACCAGAATTTTCATTTTTGAGTGAACTATCCTTTTGAAATGCAAATTTACTAAATGGTTGCACTACTTGTTTAAGATACAGTATTTCAGCACAAGCCACCAGAAATCCACTTTAAAGGGATAGTTCACCCCAAAATGAAAATTCTGTCATTAATTACTCACCCTCGTGTCGTTCCAAACCCGTGAGATCTTCGTTCGTCATCAGAACACAAATTAAGATATTTTTGATGGAATCTGAGAGCTCTCTGACGCTCCCATAGACAGAAACGCAACTGTAATGTTCTCTGAACCAGCCTCCAAAATGGAAACTTGTGCCATGCAAATTGCATTCACAGCTTTTGGACATGTTTGCGATGTTATTTTATTTGCATAATTATTTCAGTGCATTTAGTGGTAAAATAACAGACGGTACAAGCAAACTGTACTCATGCAACACTTAAACTATTGCTTTAGTTGTAAAAAAAATACCTGTGTTACAAAGAAAAGCTTTGAAAATAGCTTAGCTTTTTGTCTTTTCTCCATTTTTCAGAGACGAACAGCACGCCTTCTGCAGGCAGCTCAGAGAAGCAGAGCCCTATGGCCCAGCCCAGTCCAGTTTGCCAACCCAGCACTGTGAACCAGACCAGTGCTGCACCTCCACCTAACTCCACCCCTCAACCCAACTCTGCACCTCAAACCAGCTCCATAACGCAGCCTACTTCAGAAGCACAACCGAGCCCTGTCACTCAAACCAGCCCAGCCAATCAGCCCAGCTCAGTGACCCAACAGAAACCACCCACCCAGCCCTCCGCAGTGCCAGTAAAGATCTACAGCCATGACAGCAGGCAAGGCACCAACAAAATTACATTATGACTTAAATATATTTTAAGTTGTTGTACTAGTTTTACCATTGCTCTGTGAAATTTCACCGGGCGAAACCAAGTATGTTATGAATGATATTAATAAATTAAAAAATTGTACACAAAAAAAATTCAAATATCATTTTAAATGCTAATGGCTTTAGACATCACAACATTATTATGTACTGTATGAAGGATATGAATTATATATATTTTGCTGAAGATAAATAAATAATAAGAATAAATATGGAGCTGAAATATTGTACATCCCTAATCATTTGAATGGATGAATTCAAATCAAACTTGTTTTGTAATCAAGTTAAAACTACAAAACTCTACAAAAGTTCACTATTTATGGAGTGAATCCCTCTCTGACTCACAGACTCTCTCTCACTATTATGTTGTTGCGTAAAATCACTTATTTCTTACAGAACTGAATAATTTACCTACATGGCTCTTTAAAACCATTTTTAATCATTTATATACCCTGCAGAGACCAATGATTTCACTTCCTCTCCATGCTCGCTCAAGTTTCAATATACACCCAAGAGCTCCTCAGGCTTTGCCATTTTCAACAGAACATTATCCTGCATTAAACTTTAAAATTCATTAGAGCGGTAGCTCCGTCAGTGGTAAGTCTGTTTTGATGGCATCCGCTGGAAAACAGACGTAAACAGAGTAAATATTATGAGAGAATCTCCTCATTCTTATATATATATATATATATATATATATTACAGCTTTTGCTGCTGATAAAAGCTACTATTTTAAATTGCCACATTTTTGCAGACAAGTTTGACAAGAAATTGCCATAAAAACACCATAGACGTAGTCCAAGTCTCACTTGCTATTGCGTATATTCCAAATGTTTGTATAAGAGTCAGCATCACCAAATGCCATTGGTTCTGCTCTGACTGGTTGTTCAGCTACAGGTCAGAGGTAAAAGCAAGACAGGATGTAAAACCCGATATTCGACAGCCGTTCACTGATTACCGCCAACCCCCAGTGGACTACCGACACCCTCCTGTAGCAGATTATCGACAGCCACCAACGCTCGATTACAGACACCCCCCACTGCTGGACTACAGGCAGCTGTCCACTGACCCTCGCACCTTCCCCTTACCGGACTACAGGATGCCACAGGTAGCTCTGCTGCCACTCTGTATTCACTCAAACACTGGAGTAGAAATGCACACTGATATCGTAATTCATCACTGAAATGGCTATGTGGCACTGACAGTGCATTTCCATAAAGTATGTATTATGCATGTCCATAAAATGTCCATAATATGTTTACATGTGCTTGCAGGATTTTGATTTCTTCACGGTTGAGCTGGAAAAGGGTATGAAAGGTTTTGGCTTTAGTATCCGTGGAGGCCGCGAGTATAAGATGGATCTGTTCGTTCTGCGATTGGCTGAAGACGGACCAGCAATACGCAATGGAAGAATGAGGGTGAGCTCTATCTATCTATCTATCTATCTATCTATGTCTGTCTGTCTCCATCCAACTATCTATCTGTCCATCCATCCATCCATCATCTGTCTGTCTTTCTGTCTGCCTGTCCTTCCATCCGTCCATCCATCCATCTTTTCATTCATCCATCCATCATCTGTCTGTCTATCTCTATGTCTGTTGGTCTGTCCGTTCGTCGATTTATCCATCCATCCATTCATCCATCATCTGTCTGTCCATCGATCTATCCATCCATCCATCATCTGTCTTTCTGTCTGTCTGCCTGTCCTTCCGTCCATCCATCCATCTGTCAATCCTTCTTTTCATTCATCCATCCATCATCTGTCTGTCTATCTCTTATGTCTGTCGGTCTGTCCGTTCGTCGATCTATCCATCCATCCATCATCTGTCTGTATGCCTGTCCTTCTGTACATTCATCCATCCATCTACATCTGTCTGTCTTTCTGTCTGTCTTTCTGCCTGTCCATCCATCCATCCATCCACCCATCTATCCATCCATCATCTGTCTGTCTGCCTGTCCTTCCGTACATTCATCCATCCATCTACATCTGTCTGTCTTTCTCTCTGACTTGCTCTCTGTCTTTCTTTCTGCCTGTCCTTCCGTCCGTCTGTCCATCCATTCATTCATCCATCCATCCATACATCATCTGTCTTTCTTTCTGTCTGCCTGTCCTTTTGTCCGTCCATCCATCCATCCATCATCTGTATGTCTCTCTCTGTCTATTGGTATGTCCGTCCATCCATCCATCCATCCATCATCAGTATGTCTCTCTCTGTCTGTCTGTCCGTTTATCTATCCATCCATCCATCATCTGTCTTTCTGTATGTCTATCTATCTATCCATCCACCCATCTATCCTGTTTTGCTGCTGTTCTGTTGCTTGTTCAGCTCATATCCGTAATGAAGCTGTCATAGCTAATGTGAATAAAAACAATCCCCTTAGGATTTTCTACCTCTCATTACAGCCTTTCATATTTAGTCCATTACCTGCAGATCACACACAGTGACCGTTCCCTTCCATTCAAGAGCCTCAGTTCTGACAGTAAACATCATCCTGTCTTCTTTTGGGGCGTGAATATATCCACAGCACAAACTGCCTTTTGAATCTATAATTAGTTTGTGGTGGAACAGACCCATGGTACTTAAAAAGTCCATTAAGCATGAAGTCATACAGCCCCCAGCAGACACTGCTGCTGCTGCTGCGGTAGATTTCCACACATGCCCTCTAGATACACCAAAAACACGAGAGAGCTGCTGACGCTGCTAGCTGCGATGCTTTTACTAACACTCTCCACCCCAGAGGTCAGAGGAACCGGCCCCAGACATAGTGTAGGAACAAAAAACGAGACACTCCTTGTCAGTAATGAGAGAGTTGAGGGTCGTACTGCTCTCTGCCCCTCATTCAAACAAGATCTTAATGAGTCATAAAAAACTTGCTGCCCATCACTGGCAGCGACCTGCCCGGACTTCCACATTATCCAGACCATTTGAGAGGAATTCTCCATTTGTTACTATAATTGGCTCGTTCTTTTTCCCCAGCCCCTGGCCAATTAGTCCACAGACACAAGACAAGTTCAATGCACCTACATGCTCAGCATCAGTATATGCTTCTCCTGTTTTAGTGGCGCCAATATTTTCATAATTATACAACCTTTGTCTATATTATTTGTTTGTGTGTTAAGGGAGAATATGATAGTATTTATTAAGGATGTGAAAACTGCTTTTCCTATTTTTTTACAGCCATATTTTCCTCTGATAACCAAGATGCATAATTAATGCTCAATAATTTTTTTATTATATGTTTATAATTAGTATGTTTTTAAGTTATGTTTTCTTTCACAATGGCAAACGATTATTAGGCTACTGCTATAAAAACATATTATGCATTGTTATATAAAATTAAGAAGGATCACAACAGAAAGTAATAACTTTATTTTCAATCATTTTTAACATAACACTTTAAAAATTTTGTCAGAGCAAGACACTGAAAAAGTGGTGAGATAAATACATCTGCATGGGAACATAGAAAAACAACAACAAAATGTGTTTGTTCGACAGGGTAACAGAGATATTTAACAAATAAACAGGCAACAAAAAAAAATCTATAGCCTTTTTATTACACAAAACTATCTTAGCCCACACACAAATGAGACCTACGGATTATGCATAATAACAGGAATATTGCTCACAGCAAATGATCTGACAGTAATTTTCTTGAAATGTATTGTTAAAGGCGGTGGATGCACTACACAAGTGGCACTTTGATGGCTGTGCTTTAATGAAGATGAATTTAGAGACACAACTGCTGCTATAAATATTAAGATAAAACAAATGATGAAAAAAAAAAAAAGTTGGTGGGCAACTAATTGTAGTAATATTGATCATACCGGCTTCCTTTGTATCAAAGAAGGGCAATCAACCAGTCCCTCATTATCCTCAATAGTCGTACACCTTCCTCACAGTTGATGAAGAGCATCGGTATTGTAGCTCATAGGAACCTTGTACCCGTGATTCATTCATCCAGCTATGTTAATTCTGAAATTAATTAGTACTCGATCTCATTCATGACTGCTAATGCTGATTAGCGCTTAACCGAAACAGCCTACATGAGTTATGGACCTATATTGATCCTACTGAATAATTATCCTTAATAAATGATAGTCATATTAGTTTTATCATTAAAACCAGAGAGGGTGCGATTCAAAGCTGTCAGAAAATAATTACTGCTGTTCTGTCACATCTGTCTTCGCAATCTTAGCGATCTGAATGCTAGATAAACATTCTGGAGAGTAGGCTGTTTGCTCAGAATGGATTTTCCATCAAAAACACTTTTTCAAATCGTATTTTGTCTGTTTTGCAGGTTGGTGATCAGATCATTGAAATAAATGGGGAGAGCACGAGGGATATGACCCATGCTCGGGCCATTGAGCTCATCAAATCGGGTGGCCGTAGAGTTCGCCTGCTGCTCAAGAGAGGCACAGGGCAGGTCCCTGAATATGGTAGGTCTGCACAGGCTGTTTGAACACGTACCTTACTGCTCACAAATGTCTACAGTATTAGCTCACTTGGTTTACAGGGTCTCAAGAGGTGGAGTAACCTACAGTTTGTCTCATTACAAGACAGATCTTTGGAGGAGGTGATGTTTTATTGGGTAATGTATAAAGAAATGTATAATAGAGCAGATTGGCAGGAGATCACAGCATACATTAAGAAATATGTTGTGAAATAACTTATTCACACCAGGAGGACAATATGTGCAGTTGACAGGTTTTATTTGATATTAATATTCTGCTCTCAATGGGAATTTCTAGTAGATCATTTTAGAAAAAAGTCACCACCAGTTACACTTTTTCTCAATTGCTTTAGCTCATTTTTTGAAACAGTCTTAAAAGGGTCGTGAACTGCCTTTGTTTTTTATTTTGTACTGTTATCTGAGGTCCACTAATAATGTTATCAAGATTTTTGCATCATAAAACATAATTTCGAAGTAAAAAGCTATTTTCTGTCCTGTTAACCCCCCTCATCAGAACACTCTGTTTGAATAGACATGGCAGATTGTCGACTCTGAAGTAAACACCCACTGCTATGATTGGCGTAGTTGCGTATGTTTGACAGCGTACATTCCTCATAGATAAACGCTGCTGTGATTTAGGTCAAAAACGAATAAATAAGTCAATACATATCAGACGATCTGTAAGAAGAGACAAAGCAATAGTGATCACATAATAAAAACAGTTACTCACACGTGTGTGTTGCCACATTACTGTCAGATCCAATATAGTCAACACAGCATCGTCTTTTAGATTCAATCTTTTTGAAAATCCTGTGTCGAATTGTGCCTTGTTTGTAAACGAATCCGTGGTAAAATGAAATGAACAAAGGACCAAGTTCTTACTGACGCGGTCTGGATCTTCATTTAATTAAAAATAAAGTTCATCCACACTTTCCTAACGTTAGGATCAGAAGGATGGCAACGCAAACACTGTTTTTCCACAACTTGGCACTGCACAGCATCTTGTTGTCTTCACAGCCATCTTTATTGTTTGGTTTCTGCGTAGACCTGTGTGTTCGCCTCTCTAGTAAACACTACATGCACGAATCGGTGGGTGGGGCTAAACAGGCAGTGATGTAAAAGCAGACGTTGATCTTCTTCTGCGGAGGTTGTGCTTATCCACACTATTACATCATAGAGTAGAACATTCCACAAGCTGTCATTTTGGCAGACTGGCTTCAATATAAACTGTTTTTAGACTAACGACAAGGTTTTGAGTTCTGAAATGTACAGGATGTGTTTTTAGTACAATGACATCTTATATGTCAAAAAATCAAGGGAATTTTGGTTTCTCAGTTCATGACCCCTTTAAAATTCTCTAAACTGTAACTATTACGAATGTTTGGTTTATGGGAAATCACAACACAAAATGTAGTAACTCAACCAAAAATTTAATGCATGCTTCACAACCTAGTTATTGTGTCATTAAATTGGCTAATGGCACCGAAATTAAAGATTGATCAACCCTTGGAAAGTTTTTTTTTTTTTGGACACAGACGCTTATACTATACAAAAATATAATTTAGTGTGTCATATTGAGCTTTTTAGATACAGATTTCAAGAGTAAGTAAAATAAAGGTTATGCTCAAACTTCTGTATTCTGCTAAACAGGTTGCGTGTGTCAGACTTTGTTCCGTGTTTTGTGTGTGTTTTGCTCCCCATGTGCCCTCCTTGCCCATATTTGGTTAGTTTCCTGTTCCTTTCCTGATTATGTTGATTTAATTCCAGGTGTTCCCCATTTATGTCCATTGATCCCATGTGTGTCTCGTCATCCCCTCGTCTTGTCATGTGTTTAAATAGTGTTCCCTGTTTTTAGTTAAGCGTCCGGTATTGTTCATGTCAACCTGTGCTATGTGAGTTTTCCTTGGTTCCTTGATGTCATTAAAATTCTCTAGATTGATGTACTCCTTGTCTCCCTCCGTTCCTTGCTCCGCACTCCGCCACAGTAGGCAGTCGTGACTGAATCCAGACTCAGGCGGTCTGAGGTTGGAGCGATATGTGGAGGGTTTTCTCGAGGGCGGTCTGAGGTTGGAGCGATATGTGGAGGATTTTCTCGAGCTCTCTAACCGCGTGAGCTGGCACGACGCCACTCTAGGTGCGTGCTTCCTGCTGGGGTTGGATGACGAGATAATCCGCTGCGATCTTCCGACGTTTGATTTTCCCCTGATCGAGCTGATTAATCTTGTGCTGTTCTTAAATGGTTCTGATTTCGAAGTTGAAGAAGTAAAGAAATTTCCCAAGCCTCGTCATCCAACTCCCACTGGAACGCGCCGCGTCTCCCCAGCTCACCCCACGCCGAGAACCTCCACATACCTCTCCAACGGCTCCTACCGCCTGCCCAACCCCAAATTCCCCACTGTCCTCTGAAGCTCCACCGTGGTCCTCAGCCCAGGAGCGCCGGCCACTCGGAAGTCAAGACGGCTCACTCTAGCCCGCCGGCCACTCCAAAGACAAGCCCGCCAGCAACTCAGAATTCAAGTCCGCCGGCCGCTCCGTAGATAGGCCTGCCAGCCGTGCCGTTGTCAAGCCCGCCGGCCGCTGCGAAGTCAAGCCCGCCAGCCGCGGCTCTCTCAAACCCGTCGGCCGCCATTGACGCAAGCCCGCCAGTCACCAAAACAACAAGCCCGCCGGCTGCCCAGTTCCCCCGTAACACAAGGAGGAGGATGAAGAGAAAAGGATGGCCTCCTGAACTACCTGCTCCACCGTGGCCTCCTGGGCTGCCAGCTCCGCCATGGCCTCCGAGTCTGCCAGATAAGCCATGGGTCCCGGAGCGGGCGCTGCCCTGGAGGCCTTCTGTCCGTTAACCCTGTTCCTAGAGGCCTCCAGAGCGCCCACCCCCCCTCCCCGTTGAATGTTATATGGTGCTTGGTTCCTTGATGTCATTAAAATTCTCTAGATTGATGTACTCCTCATCTCCCTCCAATCCTTGCTCTGCACTCCGCCACGGTAGGCAGTCGTGACAGCGTCACTTCCGGATTAGGCCTTTTGTATGTTTCTTTAAATATGGAACTGTTTTACTCAAGATGCCTTCTAAGAAGATAGCAAAGATGGTCATAACCAATGTCCATCACATATGCAGATTGATATCTTAAAGTTTTTCATTTTTCTTTTTCTCACTAACATTCTAATATTAAAAAATAATAAAATGCCAACAATAAAAACAGCTAGCTAGGTTAGCTGATTACTTTACAAGTCCTCAGTTCATCGGTTCATACTGCTGTTAACACTTTCTACAACAGGCAATAAAGGAATGTTTTAGTTGTGAAGAACACGACAAGTTCACTGAGAATTAACTAATAAGTTTTGATCAGCAAGTCATGTGCATTTGATTATTCTGCAAATTATAGACTGTACGTACTCTTTTGGGCACATGCCAAAACATGTACAACTTGCATAAAATTAATAAGAAATTCAAATGTTGTAAAAGCAACACTGTTCAATGACCTGAACTTACTGTTTTGAGAGAAAAAAAATCTCATTCAAGAATTGAGCCAAGCGATTGAGAAAAACCATTCTCTTGTACACTAATATTTAATAACTCTAAAATTTTCCTGCTAACACAACACTTCTTTAACATGACTGTGACAGCATGCTCTTTGTATTAATGCAGATATAGCTAGTCTTCTTCTCTTTCATCAATTTTATGGCTGTCAGTAAATAATTCTCACTTCCGTTCTCAATTTTCCTCACTGAATACTATCTCAGCACTGATCTTAATTCTGTCTTAGCCTGTGGCTACTGTTCTAACCCTAATGATTGGTCTAGGTTGTTACTTCACCTCTTATAGGAATGGTACCTTCCAGTCTCTCCATGTGCATGAAAAGTGACAACCATGGCTCCCCCTATTTCTTCCTAATGGGCCATCCTAAAGACACGGTTTGTAACAGAGTGCATGCATTCTAACACACCAGTCATCATTCTTTCTTGGAGTGCTGTGGTTTGGATGTTTTTTTTTTATATATATATATATATTATTTCTTTTATTTTGTTTATTTAATTTATATGTATATAAAATATATTTATACATTATAGCATATATACAGTAGTTTTAAACATTGTGTATTTTGTATCTGAATCCGTGTTAGTGAATGTAACTCACATGTACTGTAACCTGTCTTTTCATAATATAATATTATTAGTCTTAGTTTTGGTATTCGGACATTATACGCACAGAGTACCTATAACACAAGCACAATAATCTTCATTCATTCACCACAGTCACAGTTGTGAGAAAAGGGTTATTTCAGTGTACATTTTGAGCAATTACTCAAATTAATCATTGAGCTGATTCTTTGAAGCAAACAAGCAAACTTATTCACATAAATTAATCAAATTTCCCAAGTTTATTGCCATTTTAATTAAGTTTAAATCAGAGATCCTATTCAATTATCTCTGCATTAGCGCTCTCACATTCAAGTTGCAAGCAAAACTGGCCTACCGCTGTAGTCTTTAATGGTCTAATAAAAAGTGCATTAAAATCATTGCGATTTTATATCACCAGCTAATAATATTGTATATATTCTGAATATTCAATATATTGTCTATGTATACTCCTATTCAAGTCATACAGTGAAAGCATATGTCTAGTAAAATTCACACACTGAAAGAGAAACAGCAGATCTACCCCTAGACGCACATACACTCTTAGCATTCTTGTAACTGACTCTCCATTGTGATGAAAACTTAACTCCTACGAGCTCCTAACAGCCATTGAAACAACTCTATGCGCCCTTGCCTTTGAATTCCGCTCACACTTGGCCATCTCTTCTCACACATTTAGTATCCCACTGAGATCTCAGTGGCACCACAGAAACCTAGCTGAAATGCAGTCATCATGGGATGGTTGTGTCAGCCTCTATGGTTTTATATTCCATACCTGTCTTCTGTTTCACAGTGAATAACCCTTTATGAGCTTGGCCAGTGATTTTTGCTACACTTGGGCCATATAACCAAGAGAAATTTACCCCAGTAGAGAAAGAAACCGCTAGCGCAGAGACACAATGATACATAATTGTTTACACTTGCCATATTTCCCTGTATTTGAAGCTTAATAATAAAGAGATGCTGTTGTGTTTGTTTTTTTTGTGTTGAAATGAATTCCCAGCCAGTTCGCTTGTTAGCACACATTAAAATGGCCGCCTGGGTGCATAAGTGCTTTGTAGGTTGGCAGAAAGCTGAGCAGTCCTCAGTGCATCCTGTGATATACGAGGAGACAGGTAGGATTAGGGATGTATAATGAGAATATTAAGGTTGGTGACCCTCTTTCAGTTTGGGTTGTGAGTGTGTTGGTAAAATATGCTATTGTGTATTGGGAGTCTAAGGAAAGGAAGTGTGGAGATGTCACTCCAATAAAAGAATCTTGGTGTGAAGTGATGTCTGTGTGTGCATGTGTGTGAGTGGAGGTTGGGCGGATAGCATAAGAAGCCCATGGGAGAACCTGATTATTCTACATCCAGTAGACACACATGAAACTAGCATACTGGCTGAAAACTATCCCATTTCCTGCCAGAAATGGAGGTTGTTTTGGTATGTATGCAAACAATATCATATAGTGCTTTGTGTCCTTACAAGAAAAGTACTATGGCATTTCCATGATGCACAGTTGGTAATGGACCATGGTACTGTGTAGTTACAAGGTACTCCAACATACTCTGAACATACTTTGTGTAATTATCATAATACAGATCCCATACTATTTGCATGGTACATTGTAGAAAAAAGCCATGGTAATAGGGCCTTTCGCACCGCAAGCGTACTGTCCATTTAGTTCTGGAACTAAAGCGGTGCGAAAGGCCCTAATATCATGGTACTTTGTATATTTTTTGTCATGGTTTGTGTGAATTTTTTTTTTTTTGTTTCCCCAAACAAGTTCAGCGCAAATCCCACCACTCAACCGATTCTAAAGATTTAATTGGTCATGTAACTCACACTGCTGATTGCCTACACAACATTGAAAGAATTACTAACCCCTAACCCCAACCTACTGTAAGCCTACCCTCATTTAAGAATTGGTATTTTGATAGATAGCATTACTGTTTGTCACTGAATCCATTACCATTTGAACTGAATCCATGAAGTCTGAATTTTTCTTGAGAGGTGACTGCGTGATTGAGTTGACAGATGAAATTAGCTTGCAGGGTAGGGTTTGCGCTGAACTGGTTTGGGGAGTGTGTGGTTCATGTTCTTTAGATAGTAATTCTTTGCTAGTGTTAGCTTTGGTTCCACTAATCTTCCTCTAGTGTGTTTTCAATTGTTCTTCTTTCTGTTTTGGTTTAAATGTTTGGATGTAACTGTTCCATGTTTCCCCAGCAGATAGTCCCGCCCCCTGGGATGCTCACACTACAGCCTCCCCAAGTCTGTCGGAAGTAGCACCACCCCTCGACAGCTTATCTAATCCATCAGCTTCTTCTCATGTGAACCCACCCACTGACCCACCTCATACATCGTCCTTGGAAGCAGCAGGTCTAGACTGTTCCCAGGGTCCTAGAGACCCAGAGAGTAGGGCTCTGGAGCAGGCCAGTGTGGGGAAGAGGTCAGCCCTGGCAGGTGGAGTTGGGGGTGGGACCAAGCAGAGGGAGGGCAGCAGGACCAACCGTCACTCTATTGGAGGGAAGAGTCAGCAACAATACCTTGATGAATTTGCGGGAGAGCCCAAATCCCACAAAGGCAGCCAGGCGAAGTCCAAGGAGTGCAGGAGGGAGTGGAGCAATACACCGTCTCGAAAGCGAGACTCGCCCAAAACTTCTCCAAATGACACCAACATGAATGGGGGAAATGGATGCCTGGATGGTAGCAACAACCAACAAGGAGCTCTGGTGCCATTCAAAGCCCAACCAAAGGAACCAGAGAAAGGGCAAATGAGCCAAGAGAGTCGTCCCAGCCACAACTCCAAGACCAGCAGCAGTGCATCAGGCAGGAAGGCCACAGTATCCCCAGGGCCCTGGAAGATCCCTGGTTCAGACAAGCTACCCAGTACCCTGCGCTCTGCCACCTCCACCATCAGCAGATAACATCTTATCACAATCTCAGGCCCAAGTTTAGACCTTACTTTTGGCTTTGACTTCTTTTGGCCAAATTTTGGACCAACCTTTGGCTATGATCCGCCTTGTTTTGGGACTGGACGGGCTCTTCTTGATTGCTTTACACAGGCTTGCTCTACTTGAAAGAGATCGGTTTTAACCTTGACTAGGTACCACCCTCCCACAATCCTCACTAAATAACTTTCCATGCATTTCTAGACAGAGCATTTTTTATTTATATTTTATTCTAAGTTATTTTAACAGATATGACACCCACCACCTTAAGAACTGGAAGCATTCACTCCAAAAATGGAACCACGGTAGAATGAGTGATGCATGTAGCGTGCAAAAAGATTCTCAGACTTGTTTGAACTGTTGGGGAAAAGCACTCAAGGCTCAGATATGTACATGCATAGAGAACCACTTACTGAGTCTGAACCACCTCTGGTGGCTACAGCAATTTTTATACACTTTCATTAAAAAAATGAAGAATACTGAAGGAGTTGCCTGACATACAGTTTTTGTGTATTTGAAGAATGAATATGATTAAAAAGATCCTATATGAGTGGACACTCGACTATGAACTCTGCCTTAAAGACTGACCTGCAGATGTCTGTATAAGGGTCGGTAAAATTAATATAGATATAGATATATTATATGACTACATGTATGTGAGACATATTGTAAATATGGTCTTTACACACCATTGTGAGCCCATACTGGAGTACTGATATCATACACAGTGTAAGTTAGATGAGTGTAATCTAGAATTCATTCCTACACCACTTTAAGGTTCGTTCCCACTGACATTGATATAAACTTGAGTGGTTGCTCATAGGTGTTCCTACTCAACTTCAATACAGAACTGTAACAGGAAACGGATCACATGGGCTTCACTGTCTACACTGACATTGGTAGTTGCTGCAGCCTCAAGTTGTCTCTTAAAATCGCAAACTCTCATTGATGATTTATGACTACCAGTTGCTGCAAATTGCTGTCAGTGTGAGTACCCAATTTCTGAATGGGCCAATGGGCTTTGACCTTCTCTTGACTCTCAATCTATTCTCCCTTTACGTGAGTACATGAACAAAGCAATTTGAGTCCAAGATGGTTTCGATGAAATGGTTTGATTAGGGCAGAGTGCCTTATGCCAGGGGTGTCCAATCTTGCTCCTGGAGGGCCACTGTCCTGTAGAGCTTAGCTCCAATACTAATTATATACACCTGAACCAGCTAATCAAGGTCTTCGGGATTACTAGAAACATCCAGGCAAGTGTGTTGGGGCAGGTTGGAGATCAACTCTGCAGTACATTGGCCCTCCAGGAGCAGGAGTGGACACCCCTGCCTTATGCTGACCACTTGATGCTTTATTTGAGCTCTAAATCCTAGGCAATGACATCAAGACAAAGAAAAACTTAGGCTGCTATAAATTCATTGGACTACTTGTTCCGTAGAAACTGTGCAAAAGTAATGCCAGATCTGAATAAGTATGCCGTTACATCCGTGTCTCTGAATGCTGATTGGTGTCTAGAGAGACCAGTTTATGTCCACAGTATAGATATATCAATATAAAATTCAAAGCTATTTTCGTACATAGAAATAGAGGTGAGAGTCTTCTAAAAGAAGTGCAGATATTTATTAATGATATCTTTGACAGGAGTTCAAATGTTTGTTGAGCACTTTGTCTTTAAGTAGACGTGTACATATAAAATGCAGTACTGGAAAGAGTATATGCTGGAAAGTTAATTCTAAAAATCCTGCTATGAAACTATGTTTATTAGCATATTCCCCATATAAAAGGTTGTGTGTTGGTAAGTCTCTAGTTCACATGGTTCATGTCAGGGCTTCAACACTCCTCTCCACACAAGCGCCATGCTTGTTGTGAAAACGTTGTGCTTGTTGCACCCTTCACAAAAGGGTGATTTTAACAAGCTTGCTAATAGCAAATTCTGAAAGTACATGAAAGAGGTAATGTATGCTATTGTCATGCAATGTTTTTTTTCCTCAGAATGTCATTATCCATCTTGTGCTGTATTTTGATGTATCTACATAGACACAGTCTATCAGCCTCTACTAGCTAGTATGCTAAGATGTTAGCTTGCTAATCAAAGGCTAACTGAAAACACAAAGAACCAATTAAAAGGTCTCAGCTTATGGAATTTCTTTGACATTTATTTGGTTATGCTTTGAAAAGGCCAAAGTAAATGAGGTCAAAGTTGAAATAGTTTGAACTTTAAGTGTCATGTTAAACATCTGTGTGCCACACCCCTTACAAAAATTAACCAAAAAAAAAAAAACCTGGTTACTAGTTAAACCATGGTAACCACAAATTAACCATGGTTTTGCTACACTAGCCATAGTTTAACCATGGTATTTGTAGTAAAGCTGGTTATACAAATGGTAATCTATACACCAAAAAAACATGGTTACTACACTTTTATTATAATAAAACCATGGTTAATTTTCATAAGGAACGGCAAGGTGGCTAAAGGCCCATTCACACCAAGGATGATAATGATAACTATAAAGTTGTAATAATCATTCTAATTCTATGAGAGTAGGGTAATGATACAGTATAACGATGACACAGAGAATCACTTTCAGAACAATTTTTTTTCCAGCTGATGAATGATAAAATCACTGACAGCCAGAATCAGAATCCACCACTTTAAAATTGAATTAGCATTTAAAGCAGCAGATGACATAACTGCATTGGTCGCTTACAATGAACATAATGTTATTGTGCATTGACATGGATGCTAACTTAGTTATCGTTATATTTATCGTTCTTGGCGTGAACAGGACTTAATCACTCTAGCTTGATTCTTTGCTCCATTGAATTGAATGGATGGGGAACATTGATGTAACCAGTTAATGTAACCAACTGGAATGTTAAGGTGTAATGGAACAAACTTTTCGTTAACATCTGGACCTCAGATTACATTATTATCCTGTGTTTTCTTTCATAATTCACTTTTTATGAGTTCAGTTGCCATTAATGTCACTGTCAGTAATAAATACAGCATTTCACTTGAAGGTGAAATAGGTCATTTCTGTGCAACTAGTGGCATCCAACTGTAGTTCTGGGCTGACAAAACGATATGGTCTCAACCAATTGCATGATTTTGAGGGAGTGTCTTAATTGTTCATGATTTTATAACTGATAATGGCACAGAAATTACACACTTCACTTAAAAAAACAACAACAAACATGTCAAGACCCCAGTGGTGCTTCATTGTGTATTCTTCCTGCAATACTGTCAAAAATGTTGTACAATTATTCACAACTTTTATAATTTTGTTCACTTTAATTAATATATACATGTCAATTCAAGTTCCTGTGAAAAGGACCCCAGACAAGACCTCATCCGTTCTATCCATTGTCATAATATCGTCTCTATTATATTCATCTCCCACAGAAATAAAGCGATGACGGGTTCCACTGACGCTCTTTGACAACTGTTGTAGATGACAAGGAGAGCCGACAATGATCTAGTCATTACAAGATAGTGCTAACATTTCCCTGATAAAGACAAATTAATTGAAGCAATCCAAAAATGAGTGTGCCTCTGTGGCTATTAAATTCCGAGCGGTACATCCTTCGAAATCACAGACAGACAATGACATTGTCAAAGCAAATGCATTTTCTGTACCAGCAAAGATTGTGTGTGCATATGAATGAATTGGATCACTACAAACGCTATGATATCGCTAGAAATTTGGTTTAAGTACAAAATTAATTTTATGAATAAGGAACAAGGCACCTTAAGACCAGAAAAAAACATACTCTATGCAAGTACACGAATGCAGAAACAAATTTTAGCGCATCGTAAGTGTGCGGTTTCATTGTACATCCTTAGCATCTATTTTTCGCTACTATAACGCTAACAAACCTCCGTACTCAAGGGGGCGACAGAGTTACCTTCAAATGTTTTACTATTGAACAATGTGTTGTAAAGGTGCATTCAAACTGTTGTTTGGCTAATTGTTGTGGGTGAAATTCACTTATTTCAATAGAAATCTACGCAATCCGGATTTTGCGAAAGGGTGAAAAATTTCGCCACAGATTTCGCGACAGGTTCAAGTTAGTCTGCTCGGTTTGAAAGTGTCTTCTGTGTTAGCTGTACTTTATACATCGCTACTAGTGACAATTAACCCATTTGTCTTTCTCTTTCTGAAAATGTATTAGTGACTCTTCAAAACGTAGAAACGTCAAACTTTAGCTACATTACAAAAGTTGGCCCTTAAAAAGAAAACTGATGCTAAATTATGCTAATACCACATTAAGAATGCAATGTGTTACGTTATGAATTGCATTCTGACACATTTTGCAACGCAACAACAAGAAGAAAGGTGATTAACTTGCGTAGTTAGCAGCATTTGCATTCATGTACTTGTTTAGGCTGTGTTTCTGGCCTTAGGGTTTCTTTTTCTTTGTCATTTTGTAGAGTAATGAGTTTGTTTAAAGAGAGAATAGTGTCAGTGCTTTCACACTGCTTTTCCGTTGATTTTGTCTTGAGTTTGCCAAATGCTAAAGAGATGTTACCTAAATGATTCAACCTGATAAATAACATGATTTAAAATGAGATGATTTATCGGTAAAGCCATGGAGGCAACGCAATGCCCAAAAGGGGCTCTGTATCACTGTGTAGAACTGAAAGAACAGCGTGGTTCATCCTGTATACAGCTAAAAACTATAAATATGACACTATGTACTATGACCTAGTCACAAAAACTGTAAGTGAGCTATTTTTATGAAATGCAACTCAATGGATATATACTTACTTTTGCAAAGCTCTTGTTTACTGTATGATATTTACTGAAATACTGTCAAATAAAACCTTGACATGGTGTAAAATGCAAGTGTTTTGTGAGTGTTTTACTTAATTGCCGGTCTACACCGGTTTCCTCCTGCACGATTAACCGTGTGATCGTGCAACCAGTGGTTAAAGGGTCTTTATTTGAAAGGAGATACTGAAGTTTATGCTGGGTAGCAGTGACATAATTACACGTTTATTCAAAGAAACACAAAAAAAACTTCACAAACTGAACTTTGGTCACGGTGCAAAACACTACATGAATTTCTTAAAGAATCGGGTTCTTTAAGAAATGACATTTCAAAAGCACATAGATGATTTATTTAAAATATAGATCTCGCAATACTGACTTTTTTCTCAATTCTGAGATAGAAACTCACAATTGCGAGTTATAAAGTCGGAATTGCAAGATATAGGCCTAAACTTGCAATTCTGAGCAAAAAAAAGTCAGAATTGCGAGTTTATATCTTGCAATTCCGATTTATAACTCGCAATTGTGAGTTTATATCTCAGAATTGTGACTTTTTTCTCAGAATTGCGGGTTTATCTCGTAATTCTGACTTTATAAGACGCAATTGCAGATTAAGTCAGAATTGTGAGATATAAATTCACAATTCTGAGATCTCACAATTCTGAGAACATATCGGTCTTTTTCACCCTCAAAATTGGACTTTATAATCCGCAATTGCACTCTTAAAAATAAAGGTGCTTAGAAGGTTCTTCACAGCAATGCTATAGAAGAACCATTTTTGGTTCCACAAAGAACCATTCAGTCAAAGGTTCTTTAAAGAACCATCTCTTTCTTACCTTTTTGTAATCTGAAGAACCTTCTTTCGCCACAAAGAACCTTTTGTCAAACAGAAAGGTTCTTCAGATGTCAAAGGTTCTTTATAAGGTTCTTCTATGACATCGTGAAACACCTTTATTTTTAAGAGTGTGGGAGTTTATATCTCACAATGTTGAGAAAAAAGTCAGAATTGCGGGATACAAACTCACAATTGCGAGAAAAAAGTCAGAATTGCGACTTTTTATCTCACAATTGCAAAAGTTTGTATGCCGCAATTCTGGGAAAAAAATTCAGAATTGCGAGTTTATATCTCAAAAATCTGACTTAGGCCTATCTCACAATTCTGAGAAAAAAAAATTGCCAGAATTGTGAGGGGGGAACAGTATCTTTGATCAGGGAAAATAACAGTGCAAAGTCTTTAAGGTATGTGGCCAGGGCCGTTTCTAGGCATAGGCCCTTTTTCCCAGAAAGGTTTTAGAACTACCCTAGCTGGGTGTTCTTACCTATGTCCTAATATATTGACCCAATATCTTAGTGACAGTTCAATTCTTCTAAGATCTAAAGGCATTTCTCCCATTTCAATCTGCAAGGCTGCAGCTGGTGTAGATCTCATCGCCCCTGTACATAATCTTAATGCCTTGTACTGGATTTTGTCCACCTCTTTTAACACACTATTAGCAGCAGATTGATACACTATACTCCCATAATCAAATACAGATCGTATCAATCCTGTATATATACTTCTTAGAGCCATCCTCTCAGCCCCCCATTCTTTCCCCACTAAACATCTCATAACATTCATTACCCTTTTACATTTATCAACTTTTTTTTTATGTGTATTTTAAATGTGAGTGTTTCATCAAACCATATACCCAAAAATGTAAAACATGATACTCTTTCTATATCTTGACCATATAATTTCAATTTTACCTCTTTACTAATCCTACATTTTGAAAAGAATGCATTTTTTGTTTTTTCAACAGAGAATCTAAAACCCCACTTATATGACCACCTTTCTACTTCTGTTATTGCTTCTTGTACTTTCCTTACAACAAACTCTAAATTCTTCCCTCGTTTCCAGATTGCACCATCATCTGCATAAAGAGAAATTCCTATTCCTTTTTCAACACTTAAAAACACATCATTAACCATAATAGAAAATAATACAGGACTAATTATACTCCCTTGTGGTGTTCCATTTTCTACCTTTATTATCTCTGAAAATTCTTTCCCAATCTTTACTTGAATAGATCTTCCAAATAGAAAACCTTTAATCCATCTTATCATTTTTCCTTTAACTCCTGCTTTTCTCAATTTAGTTATTAACCCTTCTTTCCACATCATATCATAAGCTTTCTCGATGTCAAAAAATACTGCCACTACACTTTCTCTATTAGCCTGAGCTCTTCGTATTTCATGTTCCAAACATACTGTAGGGTCCATAGTACATCTACCTTTTCTAAATCCACTTTGATAATTACAAGTATTCCCTTTAGTTTCCATAAAATATGTTAGTCTCTGATTTATAATTTTTTCCATTACCTTACATAAGTGCGACGTAAGAGAAATTAGCCTGTAATCACTTGGACTTTTACCTTCTTTCCCAGCTTTACGTTGTAAGAAAAAGTGAAGACGTCGAAGATCTCGATGAAGAATAACTTTTATTACAGCATAGTAGTGACAAAGTACAGGCAGCACTTTGGGTTCAACGGAGTCAGAATGAACCACGAACATCCTAAGCTCAAACATTTTATACTCTATTCTTCCCACTTCATCTTCCCGCATGTAAAAGTTTCGTCTTAAATGTAAATTGCGGATAACAATGAAAGTGATTGCCTTCCGTTTGAATTTTCTTTTCTCGTTTTGCCTCTTTTCCATTGTCATACAGCTTCAACTTCTGCAACTGTTTAAAAAAATATAACAATGTTTGTCACAGTACATCGGACAAAACCACAGTAGCCTACGTCGGTCTACTACGGTCTTTTTTTTTTGTTATATTTTCTCAAACAGCCTTTTTCTAGCCACAGTTCCTCGGGCAAAAGTGAAGACGTCGAAGATCTTGATGAAGAATAACTTTTATTACAGAATAGTAGTGACAAAGTACAGGCAGCACTTCGGATTCAGCGGAGTCAGAATGAACCACGAACATCCTAAGCTCAAACATTTTATACTCTATTCTTCCCGCTTCATCTTCCCGCATGTAAATGAAGTTTCGTCTTAAATGTAAATTGCGGATAACAATGAAAGTGATTGCCTTCCGTTTGAATTTTCTTTTCTCGTTTTGCCTCTTTTCCATTGTCATACAGCTTCAACTTCTGCAACTGTTTAAAAAAATATAACAATGGTCGGACTCACTATACTATAACACAACTATCATGAAATAATTCTGTGATCACACTACGTCGGATCAATTCAGTTACTTTAGAATTCAATCAGAATTATAACATCTTCACAGTCAGTTTCAATTACGTTAGAAACTTTACAACTTCAGACACAACAGATCTAATACAACTCTGCCACCACACTGCGTCGGGTTGATTCAATTACTTTAGAATCTTACAGAATTATAAGAGACCAACAACAAGTTTCAGTTACTTTAGAAACTTTAAACTTAAGCACTTTGCTTCAGTTACTTTAGAAACAACGATTCCAATACAGCTCTGCCACCACACTACGTCGGGTTAATTCAGTTCCGTTAGAATTTTAAACAGAATTATACGAAATAGGCTTAAGAACTCCTGCTAATACTGAATAAACTTATCTTCTACCCTTACAATTTATTTTCTAGATTTTTTTTAAACGAAGGGGTTTCCCTGACAAATCCAGCAAAAAGAAAGAAACCTTTTTTCTTACCTTTTTTCCTGCTTTTTGGAAACTCCTGCACTGGGTGGCTCGCCAATGTAAGAAAAATGATGAGGACAATGAAGATCTCGATGAAGATGTTTATTGCAGCATAGCAGTGACAAAGTACAGGCAGCACTTTGGATTCAGCAGTCAGAATGAACCCCGAGCATCCTACGCTCAAACATTTTATATTCTATTACGTTCATCTTCCTGCTAGACATGTAAATGAAGTTTCGACTTAAATGTAAATTGCGGATAACAATGAAAGTGATAGCCTTCCGTTCCCACGTCTTTGATAGTCTTTCAGGTGGAAACAACCAAATGTTCAGGTGATAGGATTATCTAGAATCCCTAGCAATTATATTCAAGTACCCTTTTGGTCAGCAGATGGTTCTTGATGGCCTACTGCCGCTCCCACGCTATAGGTGACGATTGACGAAGTAACGTTCAGGAGATACTATTTACATATTATTGAGATTGGAAAGAATTATCTCTATGATAATTAAGCTCTTTGTAGAGAAAGGAGAATAGTTTATTTAGAGTGGAAGTTTGGTCGAGGCAGACTATAATTTCTTACAACGTACTGGAACTACTACAGCTTCTTTCCAGCAACTAGGTAATTGTCCCTTTTCACATACCTTATTATATATAACTCTAAAATAATACTTTTTGATGATTCACTTAAATTTTTTAACATATAGCATATCTGATCTTTACCCGGCGCTGATAACCTAGTACTTCTTAATGCACTATTTAATTCTATTGTTAATGGCAAATTAAGTATATCATCTACCTCTTCATCTTCCATAATTAATTCTCTATATCTTAAAACTGTTCCCTCTCGTCCTTTCCTCCCTTCTTCATTGACATTATCCGAACTATGGATTTTGACAAATGTTTTTATGATCATTTCCACTTTCTCCTTCTCTGTCACAGCTGTGCCTTCATTATTTATTAACTAGATCAGAGTGCTGTCAAGTGCTGCCTGATTGTTGCATGCAAAGTTTGCATTTGGAATAGGGATTTCGCCTAGGGCGTCAAATTGGCTAGAAACGGCCCTGTATGTGGCTATAGAAATTGGCTTTCAAAAATAAACCCATACCCCAAGAAATATGCACTGAATTATGAGCAGGTGTGACAACTAACCCCTGCCATTCTTATATAGTAGGCTACTAATATGAGAAATAATTAATTGACATTAGTATAGACATTCATAACTACGTGACATTTGTACGGAGAATCTGTTAAATAGCCGCCGAATACCACTCATAAGGCGTGACATTTCAATTTATTTATAATTTAAAAAATAATCCCATCATACATTTGTCATGTCATGTGCCACTAATGTAACAGATACTAGTTGAATTGGATTAGGCTGGAAATATTTTTGAAAAGATATTAATGTAATATAATCAGGACAAGATTAAATGTTATCCTAAAATTGCAATATACATTTCAATAAATTATGTGACAATTAAAAAAAAGGCACATTGCGATGCATGTGATTCCTTCTATAGCCAGTAGGTGGCGGTACCTGACAGACGGTGGTCATTTTGTACTCACTCGTTCATCCGCGCCAGAAGGGGGCAGTGTGAAGTAATGATAGGCGCAGCTCAGAAGAAGAACGAGCCTCAGCAGTGAAGGCGCAATGGCGGTAAATGCACCAGAAGTTGGTTTGCCATCCGCCATAAAACGTTATTAGAAGAAGAAGTGAAGGCGCAAAATCCCGTGTGCTAGCATCATTGGCTAGCAGTTGTGAATTTACGGACAAAATGGACTGGTAAATATTACGTATTATTACAGTGTTATTGTTGTATGAATGCTATCTGATTATTTTGGCTACTTTATTTGATTCGTGATTTGCTCTAATTTACGTTATCGTAAGAACGTCTGCACATGGCAGTTGACACTCGATATAATAACACGAAAGAAAATAGAATATAGCTTTTTATTCATTATTAAATGCTAAACAATATGTAATTTTAGAGTTATTTTACGTAAATACAGCATTGAAAGAACTTTTATATTGTTTAAAAAGACTAATAACGTTATTCTTTAGCTGCGTTTTGACAGTTCATAGCTAACGTAACGTTAGTTAATAGCTGTATTTGTTATATGAATATATTTGACAGGCCACTTTCGTTTAGGTTTTTGTGTGTGAGTGTAAGTCTTTGTGAATATACAGTTGTTAGTCTGAAGACAGAAGAATCTGTGTTCAAATGTATTTGTGAGCATGTGGCATAAATATGGATAATAGCCTAATGATATAATCTTGAAAATGTAGTTCTGGTGTCTGTATTTTGTGCAGGAATCAGACCTGGTTGAGTCCATTGGTTCGGGACACTGAGGTGACCCGTGCTGCCCGCAGAAAGAGTTCACACAAAAAAGGTGCATGTATCCTTACCAAAATCATAAGCCATAGTCAAGTCATTACATTTATTTATCTTGCACGTTACAATGCAGATAGTTTCAAAACAGCTTCACAGTGATAAACAGAAAAATAGCATTATTTAATGGTACAGAATACATCCATTTTGAAAGAACTTCAATGTTAGCTATAAAACATCTCAACATAATAATGACATTATTTAGTTCAATGCTTATTCAGTTCAGTAAACATTGCAAAGGTTAGCAATTATTAAAAAAAAAAAACAGCAGCTCTACAGAAGACAATAGTGTTGATATCCAGCTCAGTTGAGGTCAGGTTTTTGTTCTCATCTTGCAGTGTAAGTACAATATATCTGTGCTGAAACTATGTTATAAACATGTAGGAGGTTTTTTTTTTCCTTTGCTGTGTGTTCAGTCCCACTGGCACAGGATGAGACTCCTGGCACCAGCACTACCCCTGCTAGACCACTACTGCGCCAAACACCTGGATCTCTCCTCAAACAAACTTGTGAGGAAACAGCTTTTGCTCTCTATCTGTATAGATATATGTAGATGCTGCATGCAAAAACACTCTGATTCAGAAATGACCAATCAACTCTTTCAATTAATAATTTAAAAAGAATTTAAGTAACATAATCATTGTTGAAATGAATCTAGCATTGAATGAACTGGCTGAATCCTTTAGTACTGTTTTGCGTTTATGAAGAGTGGTCTGTATTGATGTGCAGTTTTCTTTTAGAGTCAAACCAAAATTTATTCAGACACCTTCAACATTTCTTATATTATCACAGTTTATTCGCTATAGTTTAGAAAATGGTAATAAAATATGACAAGAACTCGGAGTTAAACTGTGTCAGAACAAATTAATCTTGATAATGTCAGATTACTTTGATAGAAAGGTATGTAATGAATTAGGTTGAATAGCTGTCAGCTGTTAAATTTTAGTATTTTTCACATTATCACGGTTTATTCGCTATAGTTTAGAAAATGGTAATAAAATATGACAAGAACTCGGAGTTAAACTGTGTCAGAACAAATTCATCTTGATAATGTCAGATTACTTTGATAGAAAGGTATGTAATGAATTAGGTTGAATAGCTGTCAGCTGTTAAATTTTAGTACACAACAATTAGATAATACCAATTTAGGTCGACCAATTACTAAGCAATGCTTAGTATGTGGTGTAAAAAGGGTCACATTAGCAATTAAAGAAAAACACTTAAGCAAAACATGGTCAAGTCAAAGTGTCTGAATAATTTTTGGTCCCAAATTTTCATCAGTTTTACTGGTAGTCCCCTGTATGAAGAATTTTTGGATATAATACCTCACAATTTACTTTATTTTGCTATCCACACTTACATAAATTAACTATAGTGTCCTGCACCCACTAGTAAAAAAATATATAAAAAATTATATCTGGTGTCTGAATAATTTTTGGTTTGACTGTAAATTAGGGCTGCACGATTATGACAAAAATCATAATTGTCGATTATTCCCTTGCAATTGTAATTGCGATTATTAATTACGATTATCACAATTTACATTGAATGATGTTTATACCATTGTTTGAAGCAACT